AAAATAAATGCTAAGAATGATAGCCACTTCTCGGAACAAATGAAAGTATTATCAGTACGACGACGCGGACGCCGCTAAAGGCGTGAAGTCGTAACCTCTAATAATAAAACATTATATATTCGCACCCACGTGCCACGAATAATGACAAAATGTGCGTAAAGAGAAACAAAAGTGTACCTTTTTGTTGGTTCCGAGTGTGGTTTTATAAGCGGCACCTCTGTAGTCTGTGAGCGACAATTGTATAAGATTTAATGCGCCTGTAGTGTACACGCGTGAAGGTTGCATACGATATGACAAAGTGAAAATGACTGTGTTCAATGTTTTATATGATAACATGTACACGCAGTAGTGTATTATATTGTTTTCTCGAAGGACAAAATGATATACTTAGTACTTATATAATTCCTAACATTATTCATGATAACTTATTAATTTTGATCTTATAGAATATAATTATTTTTGGGTAGATCATAATCGACCACGTCTATATCTAAAACCTTGGATATATAAACGTGTTACAAACTCAGCAAAATGGAAATATTTAAAGGGAATTAGACATATAATTAGTAGGTTTTCGCAAAATAAAATCGTAATATTTCTTAATTTAATTTAAAAAATTAATCGCTAAAGGATAATTTATTTTTCGACCATAAACCGTAATTAGGTCCCCCAATTCGTAAACAGTGGAGCATGAACCGTTGCTTGCACACGATAATTACCTCGCTAATGTCATTTATTTGGCTGAGGCTTTTGACCCTGATGAAAGATAAGGAACCTCTAAAAATCCCATTCAATAGATATTAAGTTTATCTTCTAATTAAAATAAGTACCAAAAACTAAGAGATGTGGACATCGTGTGAGACAAATGCTCCTCGACTAAATAACGTAATCCCTCTATCCCTAATTGACTCCATTAAAATCCCGTAGTCAGTGTTATTTGTAACGTTTTCCTCTGCGGACTGTCTTTACGCAATACCTATCTGACTGCCCAAGCTCGTTTATATGGAGAGGGCTCCTCTGAAATTAGTCTGCCAAACAATCATCTTTACCAACCTGATTTTTGCCGTTATTCGCCTAAATTTCGAGTAAAGATATCATTAATGATACTCATTATACTTTAAACGTAAAAAAAAATAAAACAATGTTTTTGTTTGAGGATTAAAATAACATTATAAATAATCTACATAGTTTAGGAAATTGATACTAAATGTTTTAATCGTAACACGAAATTTGTTATTAAAAACAAGAAAGCCATTTCCATACCAAGTCAGCCAAGGTCGTCACGGTTGCATTTAGCTCCTCCTATCAGTTGACACATCACACCCTAACCCCTATTTTTATCCTTTACGGCCTTTTAACTAGCCTTCGACCTCCCGAAACTTCGATGTAAGGAGTTCTTAAACGGACTCTTTATGAGCAACCTCATTGGAAATAGTTGGATTACTTTTATGTGTCGATGAGTTTCTGATTTGAAGTTGGCTGGTATTAAGAATGAGCTTATCGTCCTGAAGCACATTATTAAAACGTGAGTAAGAATTTCTCAAAGAAGTCTATATTAAAGCCAATTTTACCTCCAAAATTGAGTTACAATATAATTAGATATCGTACATTTTCATAGCAGATAACTTTCATATATAAAGAGTTTATGAAAACAATAAATATTTATTTGCTAGAACACACATAAAAGTATACATAAAGTTTTCATATTAGATGATACTGATCTCCCGTTTTATTTACAGTTCCCGTGTTTGATATAACTACATAACAATAGGGATGTAAAGACGTTTATCCCCTAAATTGTTTCAACGTTATCGCAGCCATCACCCACATGTTTCCTTGGAAAAAATACTCTCTATGTTATCAGAGATTACAAGGGCCGGTGTCAATGGTCGGAGTTCTTATCAATCTATATTAGCTGACCCCCGCAGTAACTTGTTGATGTCGTGAACGGGACAGAAGTTTCTTATTGTACATATGTGGCTTAAAACAATTACTCTTAGGGTGTTTATTTGGAACCAGATTTTTAATTAGTGAATTTTCATTTAATATCTTTAAAGCAAAGTTTTAGAACATTTAATAAGAATGAATCATAATGTTTGAAAAGCAGTACGTTGAACAGTTACACATATTTCAACCATAATAGTTCTCCGTTGTATAAAAAGTAAGACAAATGTAGGGGCAGGGAATTTCGGACAATGTCCGGCCCGCCCTTCCTTCCTGTTCACATATCACTACATGTGTCATATTAGAGTAAATACGGTTAAACAGATTTCTTCTAGCTAACCACGTGTTCCTTTCCTGTTACTTAAGTTTTTTCATATCGTTTTAATTAGAGAAACTTATTATTTCAATACATCGCATAGTCAAAGCATTTCACAGAGCCAGTCAGCTTAATAAACACAAGTATTCATATTTGTCATACATAACCGGCTGCAGCGTAATCGAATTAAGGCTCTAAGTTATTCTATTTGAGGCAGCGCCGCATCAACTTCCTCTGCATTTACAATACGCGGTAGGTATATAATTCTGCTAACCGAATATCATACGAAGTTTACGTATTATATGGAAATGTTTGACGGAAAAGTTTGAAGTTTTTTTATGTACTTTATAGCATTGAATGAGAATTTTATTAGGATACTTACACATCATATGTTATGTAAACATATGAAAAGACTATTTTTAATTATAATGTGAGGATATTTTTCGGTTATCAATAAGGAACTAATTCAAAAAAGTGATAACCTAAAAATGCTTGCAAATCAAGTTTTGATATGCAAAAACGCAAGTAAGTCTTTTATCAGATATAACGTAGCTTAGACTGAGCTCCAGGGCGCTATGGAGGTCAGGGTGTCACCGCTAGTGACGTGGACCCTGTCATATCGAGTATCGATAGTCTTTGTACACGTCACGCGGCAGACGCTACGATAAAAAGATTACACGTTTGCGTATACGATTCGTGCGTGATGAGAATATTAATGTGCCCTCCCCCTTTGTGGTGGCACTAATAGATTTTAATCACCCCGGCTACTGTATGACTTTTCTTTTAATGTAAGTGTCGTATTTAACACTATATTATGCATAATTTGAAAAGCAAAGCACCAATACGATACTATGTAAAAATGAAGTAACTATTATTGCTATTACGAGATTTGAATTTATGTTCCGCATAAACAACCAGAGTCGCTACACGCCGCTGATCTTTACCTTACAAGTATTTTGTTCTAATTCATCCTCCAGCCTGCATCTGCTTAAGTTAACCACGTCAGAGGCTTCTAGAGTATATTCTCAACAAACAGCTTAAACAGAGTGCTTCAGATTTAAATATTTTTATAAGTTGATTTAAAATATTAATGGCGTTTCAGGCATTAAGAGCATTATGGACACCCTTGTTTTTGTTCAACGAATTTGCATGTTTGGGGGACAGTGGGAATATTGTGTTTGCATGCGGACGGATCAAAGAGATGCATTATAGCAATGTATTCGCTAACACGTAAATAAATAAAGATAAACATCGCTCCCAGCCGTAATGCTTTGTAATTTTTACTTTGCTTTAAAAATACAAAGGTATTGAAGGATGGACATGATTGAAAACGCTATCACCACTAAAGAGACCTCGTTTTAGTCCACTCGTTTTGGTCTTGTTACGTGTTATAAATTATATTCAAATTCTAGAGTAAGATATATTACTGTTATTATAATTATAACGATTAAATTGATTGACCATTGATTAAGTTTACAATGAAGTTACGGAAAAACTATTCACTGTTTTGCTGAAATCAGAAAAGGTTTCAGTATATTGGTTATATTATGTCGATTTTTCCTTTACTATGTAACACCAAGAATGATGTTAGACTAATATTATTAATAAATTCAATATAGGACTTGTTTTCTCAGTAATGAACTGTGTAAGGAATTCCGCGTGTTCAAATATTATAGCAGATCTTAACCACAAATCATAATTCAATCAAAATTTAGTGGAAGACGTTCGGTTAAAAGATCAATAAGGGGCAATATAAGGTCCTAGGGATATCTACGCTTACAACAATATATCCAGCGATAGTGGAACGATGTCTGCCCATAATATTCTTTGGGGTGCATCTCATTTGGCTTAAGAACCTGCCTTTGTCAACAAAGTTGGGGGCGAGCGGAAAAATCGATACTAGCCACAAACGAAGGCCTCGATCAAAGCTATCTTGTTAAGTAATTCACGTCTCAATTTTAAATTTTTAATATTTTTAAGCTGATAATTAGGATGGTGCTTTAATTCACCCAAGTTTGAGCGTAGTCAACAATACAGGCACGAACCTTCCATATTGTTAGCGAGTATAAAGTTACACTCAAACCTTGTTTTCTTCTTATAAATAAATAATACAAGCTATTCAATTATAAACAATCAAAACCAATAAATCAGTCAACACAAGGATTTATGCTGGCACTTAATACGTAAATATATAATTGATATTAATAATGAATAAATATAGACTATTATTATTGCTTCAAAACATGCGTATTTAAAGCAGTTCTGCCAAGTGCTATTATAAATAGGAGTATAAAGGCTACTAGAGTCATTCTAACTTGACATATTCAGATAAAGTAGAGTCAATCGGACATATTTAATAATTAAAACGAAATCAAGTAAAGTTAACAAAGATTTTTCATTATCAAAACTTTTCCGGATCCAGATACGCTGAAACGCATACCGAATTTAAATCCCAGCCCGGCGCCCGCTTGCTTTATTACGTCGATATGTAAATTTTGTACAGCGTCACTACCCTTATAAAGACCCTGTTTGAATTGAAAATTTAGTCGAACGAGCGAGAGTTAGCTCGCACTCTGCCAGTTCGGCCACGTCTTTCAGACCACTCGCTGCTTTTACGGTCTGTGTTAGAATATTTTAAAACGTAAAAATATACATAAACACCGCGAGCTACACTACGGCGTGATCGTAGAGACAATGAATTGACAAGTGACGTGTCACGTGGCTCAGCGATCTGTCAAAAATGAGAGGGACGGCAATACAGAGTGACAGAGACAGAGATATACAAAACGATCGCGTGTCCAGACGTAAGTAAACAAACGTTGATATGCTACTTTGAAGTGACAAGATAAGTATTTATTTTAATTAGATCGAGAATTTTAATAAAGGCTCTGTTTTAATGACATTGCTGTTAAAGAATTCGTTTGTCGGATAGCTAATACGTGACACGGTACATTGGCTTCGTCCCACTTTTAGTATTATGGCCCATTGTATAACACTAGCATAAAATGGTTGTTAGGTACTCTATTGTGTCTAAATTACTGTTAGCGCAACCAATTCAAACATTAAATGTTATTATTTTACTTGCATGTTTACAAACTTATCGGGTAGTGTCAAACGAGATATGTTCGTTCATTCAGAATATATTTAAGTAGTACTTAAAATATTACGTTGCATTGCAATTCTTTCTTAGCACCTAACAACTCTTTGTATGTTTTTAACTACTTATTTCATTTCTTCATTCATTTAAAAGTATTCAATATTTAACTTCAGGTACTGGCGACTGTAAAAAAAGTAAAAAACTCCACAAGGGAGCCTGAACCATATAATTAACTCTTCCTTCCAAACATTCACTAATCTTCAACATGACCAATCAAGTCTATAATTTCTCAATTCCTATTAATACATAGATCATATATTTCCTATAAATCTAAACCCATACTTACAAGTCATAGAGGATATAAAGAAATAATAATATAAAATTGTTAGCAGTAATTTAAAGAGCAATTGAATCAACTATCCAAGTGGTACGTTTCCATTCGATATGACTATTACAATCGATGACCGTCCTCTGAACAGATCTTAGCAGCCCCTACGAGCCTCGGGCCAACGATTATCATAACAAGACCCCATTACCTACACCGACAGCATCACCTAACTTATCCGGCTACCCTCCAACACATCCCTATTACAATCAGATAAGGTTCAATTTTAATCCACAAATCATCCTACACGGTTATGTTCTGAAAACTAGAATTTGACAGAAGAATGCTTCGTTTGTCAATTGCCATCGATTATATACGAGGCAGTGCGCAGCCGCAGGCTAATTTGGGGGACCATAGTTAGGTATTTTTCGTCACTAACTAGATAACAAGTGGTTTTAAATTGGAATCTACATAATAATGTATGGAGGGTGTCTAATAAAGCCGTGAGGGTGCTATGGGTGAAGCGAAGGTGGCGGGTTTTTTGTGTAAAGCGATGCTTTATTACTGTTTTTAAGTATATAACTGTCAAGAAATGAAATAAGATTGTTTTCTTTATAACGCTGGTTGACTGATCAATGAATGATTAATAAAATTAAATGTAAGTGAATACATAATAATGTACAATTATTCTAAATAGAGCCATAATCTGTAATCTTAGTTGACTATACAATAAATCTTATCAGTAAGTCAACATGTTTCTTATCATAATATAAACGGAACAAATATTATAAGACAAATACTTCTGCAAAATCAAAATATACATCTAGAAACTTCGGTTTCTGAGATTTTTAGACGTAAGCTAACATAATTTCAGGTTTGTTTTAAACCTACTAGTCAATGTACGTATTGCTTTTTTCACATTAAATAAACAAAAACTGACATATATATTTAAATAGCTATTCCGTAAAATTATATTCTGAAAAACATCATAATGATTATAATACGATTGCTTTTAAGTATTCCAATATCGCGTACACATAGAACCAAACATCAAAATACGTTGGAGGAAAATCCATTCAACTTAAAATACGTTGGACGTCTAAAAAAACATTGCAGCACGTGTAACAAATTATCAATATCCCATGATAAAACAAACGGCGGTCTGTTTGTGTTTGGCGTTGTTTTTATAGAACACAGCGAGCTATTTCACAGTCGAGTACGCAGGTTTTGCCCAGAGGTTGAATTTCAGTTTCGACTCATAGATGGTGTGAGTAACAATAACACTGTTAAATGCATTCCGCTCAGCGTTTTGTTATTTTAATAATTGGAAATTATTTCGTTTGATTAATGTTGTTTTACGTGGAACGGAACGCGTTTGTCATGCCTGACATGGATAGCTAAGCGATGTTTCATCTTTACAACTATATTGGCAAACTAGCAATATATGATTCGAGCCAAATAGGTTACCGATGTCATTCACCTATAGTTAATACCGATATGTTAGTTAGCTTACGTGTTGCTATTACAGAATGAGTCGTACGGAATAAAAAAATGTGTATACTATGAAAAACGAATGAAGTGACATATTATGCAACATATTTTTCAATTTATATATTGAACAAATAAAAAAAAGAAAAATATAAAAAAAAGTTGTTAGCAGAGCGTGGTTTCGATCCACGGACCTCTGGGTTATGGGCCCAGCACGCTTCCACTGCGCCACTCTGCTCTGTGACAGCTTAACGAAATAGAGTAACTTAACTTAACGCTCATAATATTAAAACAAACATGATATAATAATTGCAAAACTTGCTTCATCCACGATAAGAATATTTGAATAATGAACTATATTAGGAAGTTGTAATATGATGAGGAACTATTTAAAATTAAGTATATATATCGGATTTTATACAAAATTCGTTGTTTTTAAAGAGAGAGACGCCAGCCTCACTAATGTCACTTCTTTCAGTACGTTCCATGATAATTTAAAATGAAACTTCAATTCTTCTAAATGTCCTTGTTTTTGTCGAAGGTTCTTCAAAAACAATTTCTTCAATGGTCCGCACTCACTGAACTCTGCCATCGTGCGTCCAGGCGTCATATTTATACCAAAATTCAAATAGAATTCTATTCTCCTTTTAAACAGACTTTGATTTCATTTTACTTTTAAAAAAAATAATCATGAATACTAATAAGTTTTTATAATAATTGATGACAGTTATTTTCATGTTGCATCCGTCATTAATACTATCAGTATAGCGCCGATATATACATATAATACATATATCTACTAATACTTATTTCTTTTTCAAATAAAACATTGTTCGTTACTAAACAGTGTAATATTTTTCTATAAATAGATTTTAATATTTCAAGTATCATACAGAAATCAAATACATAACCCAGTGATGCGAATAAACTAAGCATTTAACCAATCCACTTATAAGTTTTGTAAAACATTTCAAGGTTTCGAGTGAATAAAAATGTAAGGGTCAAACTGTATCACTAGCCTGAGGCAGTACTTGAATAAAGACGAATGATTTTATAACAAGTCACCTCATTGACTGCTACCGTAATATACATTGAAAACTTTAAATTTTAAATTAAATTTTTAAAAAAATAAATTTTAAATTCAGTACCGAAGACAAGCCGACAGCTCGCCAATAAACCCGAGCGCGTGTGACGTCACAATGTTAGTTTTTGCTCATTGTAGCATACAGAGATATAATAATTAGTACAGTGTTTTGAGTTTTTATCTAGTAAATTCTGTTGGCATTGTTAAATAATCAAAAATGTCAAAACTCAAAAGTTATCGCTCTTGTTTTGTACCATTATGTACAAATACTACAAAAACAACTCCTGAAAAAATGTTTTTAAATGTTCCACAAGACGAAAAACGTCGAAAGAAATGGTTTCAAGCAGTGCACCGAGATTATTCAAAAACAAAATCAATTTTTTTTTGTTGTGAAGATCATTTCGTTGTAAGTATTCATAATAATATTGTTATTAATTATTATTTATCTAAGTATATAAATCGAATAAGTATAGTTAATTATTTATTTTTTTTACCTGGGCTCCAAATCATAACCTTTAGAATCGTAGCATTAAAAAATTTTTAATTGATAATTCAAAGCGATTAAATAGTAAATCTATATGTATGTTTGTCTAATAATTGGAATTCAATTAATAGATATTTTCATAATTTTATAATATTCTAGGTTCTGTATCAGACTACATTTAAATTTTTAAAGTATATGTTATTTTGGTTTTTTATAATGTTGTAATAACATTTTATTAATAATGATTTAATGAAATAATTATTAATTATATTTAATAGAGAATAAATACTTATTTTCATTTAGAATAGTATTTTTAACAGACTTACCTTGATGTCTTAGCACCTCGAACTTCAGCAAAATTAAACCGCACTTTTAAAAAAATTAGTTATCTTAAAAATATATCAACATCAGGAATATTATCCGATTTTGCTTTTATAAATCCTTTATCACACATAGTTAGTGGAAATAAACTTTTCAAATCGTTTTTCACTAATAAATTTGAGATATTTTTATCAAGTCAAAGATAATAGCCATAAACACTGTACTATTATGAAATTGCTTTAACATTATGACGTCACAAGTATGGCAACCAATCGTGGCGCGTTTACAGTCACGTGATTTGTTTTTGAATTTTATCAATTTTTAATTGTTTATAATTAATTAAAAAAAATTTTTTTCAAGATTTTTGCATTAAAAATCAATATAATTAATAATAAAGTTTTAAAATGCATAAAAAAAATCAATACTTTTTTTTTTTCAAAAACCCAATTAGTGGCGTTTATGACGAGTATGAGTAGCGAAGTTTGTATCGTGACACTTAACACATAGCAAGCGTTTCATTTTCTCATTCAATAATCTACGTCAATACTACCTGCTATACTATTTATGAAAAATTATTAATTTAAAACAAATGGAACTTTGGGTTCAAATGATGTCTACCATCTTCACTAAATTTAGCTTCACGGCCCGTTCTAAGATACATTATGGATATACCAAATAAATGAAAAATTATATATGTAAAAAAAATATATATATAGTTTTCTTGTCATATTTAGCAGAGAAATATAAAATATTGAATTATTATAATAATTACATGATAACAAAAATTATCTTTATAAGCCAACGAAGGCTATCACAAGAATATTATCATTTTATTTATAGTTTAATTTTCGATTCCCCAAATAATATAGGTGCTACATAAAACCTAAATGAACTTACTGATTGACCTTACATAATATAAATCTTTTCTTTGTGTTTTTCCTTTTCATTATTTGTTCCTATTGTTACATTTTTAGTCGTTGTAGATTTATCTATATACAAATAATTTTACCAACGGTGTCATTAACATTTTTGGCATAATTTTCGTACTTATCAAAGAAATTGAATGAGACAAAAAATTACATTATTGTTCCAGAACTATGAGAAACTCAATATAGAATTTAATTATTAATGATACTTATTATTGTATCATAAAGAAATTACATTAGTATATATACAATTTTCAATATCCATCCCTACTAATATTATAAATGCGAAAGTAACTCTGTCTGTTCGTCTGTCTGTTACGCTTTGACGCCTAAACCACTGAACTGATTTTAATGAAATTGGGTACAGAGATAGAGTTGACCTTGAAAAAGAATATAGGATAGTTTTTTTCCCAGACTTTTGAAAGGTTCTCTCGGAAACGCGATATAACCGGACTTTACGCGGGCGAAGCTGCGGGCGGATAGCTAGTATATATATTAAAGAAAGTGGTGTTAGTTACAGTATTTATAACTTAAGAATGGCTGTACGGGTTTGGTTAAAAATCGGTGGAGAGATAGCTTAGAACAAGGGAAAGGACATAAGATACTTTTCATCCGATCGAATAAGAAATAAGTTTAATCAAATTCAAAATCTTATAATCTACTGTCTTTAAGGTCCTCTTTCCTCGCTCTATTCCTATAGAGCGCGGGCAAATGCTAGTTTATTATAGAAATAGAATATTATTGTCAAATGTTGAAACAAGAAACTATTGTCTAATAACCCATTTTAGTGAGACATATTTTCCTTTCTCTTCAAGTAGTAGTTTTTTTTAATTTTCTTGACTGTATCGTATTGAATGCAGTATATTCTTAAATAATTACAGTTCAGTGACAGAATTGATCCAATCATTATCGGTGCAGTATTAAGCGTCGCATCGGGGAGTCTGGACCAATAAGGCACTACCCCATGGTGCCGTTCAGTGTTGGAATCGGTATATGGGGGGATTTTATTGGTTTTTTCTACTTTTTATTGCCATGTAAGAGGATTTCTTTAATCGCTGTCACTTTAGAAGCGTTAATTCAATCCAATTTCTTGCGAAAGAATAAATGAAAATGAATTCTTTTAACTTATTTCAGTGATAATAAAATGTATGCTGAATATTATAACAGTTCAAGATATGAATTGATAAATTACCCTCCTAATAAAACAGTAGTACAAACGAGGGCGCGACATACGATGAAGCAAAATTAAAACTTTCCGATACATTGCTCTCGTACAATAAAACCATTTCGGCTGCTAAATACACCACATTAAGGTGTCGTTAGCAAAATGATGATTTATATATCAAATAAATATCAACTCTATCACACATTAATAAAGTTTATTTTAGATTACACGAAATTGGACTTAAACCGTTCTAGTGTTGTGACACCAGCGATAAAAAAATCTATGAATGGGGTTGTCGTGTGACGGAGCTGCCCTACTTAAATAATTTATTTCAGAATTTTCGCGACTCTGTATCTAATAATAATATAAGTACAAATTCAAGAATTATTCTAGCATTTCTAGAAATTCAACATGAATAATATATTTAATAAGTTTTGCGAAATTCTCGTAGAGATCTTTTTATGTTTAATAAAATGTATTGACGCAATATTTGTTATACGTTGTATATAGTATTATATTATATTTTATTATTAACTATTAATGAAAGCAAATAAAACATTATCGTTAAATTCAGTATCATTAAGGGATTGGAACATTTCATCCCAAAAGTCATAATTCATGAAATACCAGTCCGTCATACAGAGGGCGTTTATCAAATGACACAACTACTATTGTTAAATCCTTTGTTATTTATTTGCCATAGTAAAGAATACATATAACTGCAATGAAATTTAAATCTTATGCCCTGAACAGAGCTTCCATTGTTGTTTGATCTGTAAATTTTAATTTTTACGTACGTAACTAATAAGTCACATGTGTATAATTATTTTTATATCGCTTGTATTCGACTTGTCATGAATCTGAAAAGGCTTTGGTAACAAAAATTTGAATATTTCTAGTTATATAATGATGTAAGACTTATGATTTGATATAAGTACTCTTTAAGATCTCAGTATAAAAACAAAAATGTATCTGTAAAGCTAATTTTCAAGGAACTGTTAAGATTACTTATACATACTTACTCATTACGAATAGAAATGTCATAATATACAAATAATAAATAGATTTTTTTCTACCAATTTACTTTTAAACTATACCTTCAATGTTACTAATATTTAAAAAAGAAAACTCGGAATAATAACCGTATTAAAAAAAATTAAAAAAGAATTTAATATCATCCAACCTTCAAAATAAATTTCTGAACGTAACTGCAACTGTCGCACTTAAAACTAAATCATAACAATATCTTCATTTCATGTCACAATCTTTGTGACAAATTAATTTGTAACATACCTATGCTATAAAAAAAACCTACGTAATTTGGCTTTTATAAAAATTAAAGAAATTTTAGTGAGAACACTCTTAACTACTTCAAAGCAAATTCTAAGTCACTTTACAAAAAGTGACATATGCCTTACAGTAAAGTATGTCTTAAAGGTAAAAATTACACAAAATTTCATGATCGCGTTAATTTTCATTAAACATATAAAATCTGCGAACATAATATTTGTTAATCTATACTAGAAAAACGCGCTTAATCTGAAATCTCACGTCTGCTATTCTATCACTATACTGAGTGATCAGGAAATATTAAGTCCATCACCTAAATAAAATTCCCACTGCACTAACAGCTTCCTAGCTTCTGTTCAGTACAGCATCATTTATCTGTGTTGTTAGTGCGTGAGATGCGTTTTGTATATCGTCTTATTGATATAAATCAACACGCGTCCGTCGCATGGACCCGAGACACTAGCCACGTGCACTTCATTATATTCGCGCCAAAATGTTCCAACATCGCTTTGTTACGAGATTAGGCGTGAGGGGTATTAAATGGGACCTTCGTTTTATTGATGCTATCACGGACTCGTGATCAAAATCGCACGGTTTTAACTATTTTATATATGGGTTTTTGTTTCGCTGGCTGGTTTAAATTTTGATTTAAATCTCCTTAATTTCATTAGCATGTTTTTGATATGTCGTCACTAGATCCTTATGGTCATTTCTTTTTATAAAATGAATGAAAAATCATAATTTTAATCATAAATTTTATATTTAGAGCAGAAAATAAATATAAAATATATAATATAGTTAATGCATTGCGAGTAATATCAGAATCTATTGTTACACGTATTTTGTTGATGATAAATATTGCACAATACAAGTCGGGTGTCAGAATGGTCTAATAAAGCACTATTCGTGCTAGTATCAATGGCTCGTTTGTTTTATTCCTCGTTTTCGCCCCTAGTATTAATCACCCCAATACAAAAATATTGAAACACAGACGCATGGCCATTGTAACAGTGGGCGTTACCGGGCCATATTTATTATTTTTGTCACCATTGTATGCGAGTGGATTATAGCTGGTATTTAGATGAAATTGGGGATAAGGCCCGCTAATCTCGCCTTTCGTTTCTTTTGTGGTGTCGTATCGATTTTTTTTCGTTGTTAACGGTGCCCGGCGTGGGCGCATAACGTTTTATAGCATTCACAGACAAATTGCCGGCTCTTTTATGACATTTAATATGATATTTATGATTGAATGCAACGGTTGTTAGCTCATAGAACGCATCGCAACGCATTGACTTAGAATTATCTAAGTCAGTTAAACCATGATTAAAGAAAATATACTTAGTACTGCTTCTCAATGTTAGTTTTAAGCTAGTATTTATTTATCTTGATTAAGTAATTAATTAGTTTAAAAATCAGAATTTATGAGCTATATTAGCTTATCTTGTGGGTACATTTACCTATCATGTTATCCCTACACATCATTTAATAATTATTTATTATCATACAATAAAATTATGTAACTTTTTTAATCACTTGCATAGTTTACCATATTTCTAAAGATATATCTAATGGACAAACACTACAAAACATAAAATTTATTGATATTAATTAGAAAAAACTATTTAAAATAATTTTTCCGAAACTCTTGATCAGACGGGACACTGCCATTTCGTTTTTCCGTGAATGCGCTTCTGAATTAATCATAGAATCGACCAAATATATAGAATATACTCTCGTGAAACACGTTAATGCACTGTTATTTCGTCTATCATAAAGCAAACAAGCCAAATCTCAGTCGTGTGTTTAATAGATGTTATGGCTGGAACTTACAAACTTCAGCTAGTAACAGTACATTAGCACAACACTATGCTGTAGCGGTTAACCCTTGGAATGGTGTTGCGGGTCAGAATAACCCTCTTGTATCAGATCAAGACGCTCGTTAAGAATACATACGCAAGAATACATTTGCTGTATGCTGTATTCATGTAGCTTTATGAGTATGAAATCTACGTTTCAATGTAAGTATGCAAGAATATGCTTGCTTTATTTCGTATTAACGCATACAATAGATAAATTTGAATAAACTTTTTGAAGTTATGACTATTCGGGAGATATTTTTTTTTTTCTCTATTACAGTTAATATACTTTTTTAAGTTAAAACTGTATAGACATAAAATCTCATTTCGCAAGTTAAATATGGTTTGACGAGGTATTGATGTAATTTGTAAATTATTTTTATCACAATAGCTTACACCACAAAATAAAAAGTAGATTGTAAGCACTATATAGTCATAGTTGAAATATTACATATTTATTATGAGACAGTACTCAAGTTGCTACACAAATTTTTGCTTCATTACATGCTTTTATCATCTCAATTATTCTAAACACAAACATATATAGGATTGCTATTATATTTAGCTGAATTTTCACGGATTAGGCATGGAATTGATAGGGGAAAAAAAAATCATTACTTGGTAGATTGTTTTGAAAAAGGCCGCCTATGAGGACCGCGCCGGTCGGGAATCAATACAGACAGCCCGAACAGAATACTAAACAGGTAGGACGCGACGTGCTAGCCGACCTATTACTATAATTATATGTTTACAATAACATACATCCCACATATATCATATAGATAACAATGATTTTACATTTCAAACATTTTTATATGGATCTTCTATGTTTTTTAGTCTTATAAATACAAAACTATTTTATTCATGTATAACTTCCAGTATAGTTAAAATTTAAAGCAACCATTACATATATTCTAATTAAAGTTCGTCTTATAAATGTATTTTCAATTTCTTTCGTTCGCTATATCGAGGCACAGTTATTGCTTACAGAGCACATCGATGTTAAGAACCCGAAAGGCTGAAACGGATATTGAAATGTTTATCAGAAGCAGCTATCTCCAATGTCAACAGATAACCCGTTTTCGGCGACACAACGTGGAGGCAAACAATGAAGCAAGCATCCCGAGAGCCAATCCAATCATCTCAAACAGTAACTATCTGTGATAACAATACTCGAACAACCCTTGAGAATACTACCAAATCAACTAAACATTTCGTTCTCAAAACGCCCTTGTTGACTTTTGATGTTCCACTATACTGGTATTCCATGTTATCTAAGTTTACTTAATCAGCGGAGCGCTGCCGATTCGGCGTGCGGTCTCAAGGGCCCCTTAACCGGTTAACAGGCCCCAAAACGCGGCCCCCCAGCCAGGGGTCAAAGGGGTTTTCCTTCATAATCTCGATGCGAAAGGAAAATATTCCTTATCTTTTTAATTATAGCCCAGTGACTGTTACGCTACGTCATCTGTTTTAATTTTCGCCCCGCCCCATGGGAGTCTGATAACAAATATGCTGTTATGAGAACGTTAGCATTAATTTTGTTACCTAAAGATACTTGTTGTTCTGTCTCTCCTTACATTGATATCAAAACTTTCATTGATCGATTTTGTACATTGACTTTATTATAGTTCATTAATCTAACAAAAAAAAATAACAATATAGTTTAAAGAAATTCTTTGTATCATGATCATAGTTTATCATCATCTCGTGGTGATGATCATTTGATATAGGTATAAATGTGTGCAATTCATTTCTCATCAATTGCAACATGAACCGTCCTCTCTGCCGGAGACCTTCGGTCCTGGTGTCAAGCTCCAACCCATCTGTCACATCTTCCACCATAAAAACTTAATAAGCGATCCGTCACCATAAAATAAGCATTAAAAAGCCGTCGGACGCTTTTAAAAATACATCAAGATATGAAATCGCTAGTTAATTACCAAGAGACTTTGCGGATCCGATTTCAATGGGGGTGTTATCTGGGGTGAGTGTCAGTCATCTCACCAACGTACAGAACTCATCAGCTTACCCCCACTAAATATTATATTTATATGAATTTTATTATTTACTAACCTCATATGTCTTACTACACATATTTTAGGCTAAACATATGTTTGATTTCATATATATTTTACACTATACAAATTATATAACCAATATGACATACAATAAAGTACATGGAAACATAATAATTATAAAGCCAGACGTATTTGCCCCTAAACACTTGAACGTTGATATGTATGCAAATATTTATCATACATAAGGGTTATATAGCTCGCCCCGTTCATGAGTTCACAGTTGACTGACTCCTAACGAATCAGTCGGTCCAACCTCTGCCAGATCTCAGGTATTATAGGTACAATTCACTATTTACCTACGGCTCTCCAATTTGAAATTTCCGCGTCGGCTACGACCGTCCAATGAGCGTGGGGTTGTATTTGATTGTTAATTACCTCTACCTTCCACGCTGATGAATTACGCTCCCTATACTGATTTGTTTGCATAACCTGTGATATTATTTTTATATATAGTTTAAACAACTCAATGATTCCCAACAGTATTAAACAAGTTTAAAGTATGTCATGTTATATTATATAAAAACGTTATTGGTATTCATGTAATGCATTAATCGCATAACACGAAGCTGTTTATCGTGCCTCGATGTCCAAGGCTTTTTATTAAATGTAATTATTAAATTCAGATCGATATAAGGTATGCGATTTAAATGACAAAACATTTTTCATTACGGTTATAATTATCAACATATGTTCTGTTACGTAAGAAAAGAGCAATGTATAGAAAAGTTATTTAAATATTTCTAAATAGTAAAGGAATGTTTATATAGTGGTACTGTGAAATGTCAATGTGAAATTTGCAGGGAAATCGTAGTGCAAAGATAGATAATCGCGCCCCCGAGACACGGCGACGAAGCTGATGTTGAAAAGTTTTACTAAAAGGGAAAATTCTGACGGTATTGCTGAATATTAATACAATTTTAGTATATTAATTTACATTTATAATGAGCTTTTATTTGGCTCACTAATGATATTAGAAACATCGAGCGCCTTCTTTATTATATTTCGTTCAATGAAAACACTCTTGATTGAATGAAAACTAAATAAATAGTTTAATAATTAAATATTAATTAATTCTGTACTGATGGATCTATCAATTGTGGACATTAAATCCGAATTTAAAAGATTCCAAAGCAACAACAAAAAACTTAACCACTGAAGCTTGAAACATCAACAAAAATAGAAAGATAATCGAATTATGCATCTCATTATCGCCCATTTTAAATTAAGGGACGGAATCATCCCTTTGCATTCGCAAATAACGCTCCACGACTTCCTTGTTAGCGAACCCGTGTACACGACCAACATTCCACTTGGACACGGTTCTAATAACAATTTAACACGCGAACGAAATTAAACTCTATCCAAAACAAATAAAGATAGAAATTGATCGAATAACAGATATCGAGATAGCGAGTGCGAATAGTAGGACGATATTGCGGTGAACCAAAATGAAGCCTGTTTTTAGTGAAAGGCGTCAGCTTGTATGATAGGATTTGTGTATGGAAGTATGAACTAATCTCCCTCCGCTTTTGATAACTCAATAACGTCGCATAATGAGAGGATGGCCTTTGATGCCTCCCTTCAGGGAGGTGTCGAAATCCTAATTGTAGATAAAAAGATAACTTCGACGGGCTCTAGGGACCCGGATTGATTGGACAACACGAGCGACAAATACGAGAGGAAATATTGGGGAAAAAAACTTGTTAAAAACATCATTATTGGACAGAAATGTCCAGTTTATGTTGAACCTTCGGAAAATTGAGAATTTTTTTCAATGACTTACAAAAAAAATTCTAATATTAAAATGTATTTAACTTAAAAAAGGTGATTATTAAAGGAAAAATATCTAACAAACAATTAAAAGAAATCATTTCTTGATATCATAAAACCCAAATACCCGTCTTAAAACCATCATCGAACGAATTTAAATCTAAATAAAGTTATACATTATCTTCACATGTGCAGACTGACGCTAACAAATTGCAAAATTAAAACTCCCTTGGCAATAGCTTTAAAATCAGCGGCCATTGAACATTTTAATATGTATGGGGACGTGACAACTACAGAACACCCTTTTGAATATTAAATTGTAGGTGAAAATTTGAAAACATTCAACACCAATAAATAAATATGATGTATTGTGTCTACTCATTATACATATATCTTTGTTTACAAGACATAATTAATATACATTAACCTTGCAATATGTCCAAAAAATATATATACATATATATGTATGTATGTATATTATAACAAACAAACCTCCTTTCCCTGTTAAGATCAGCTACGGTAATAAAATGCAGTAAAAAAGTGTATCAAATGCATTTGTACTGGTGCTGCGAGTGACTTCCACTTAGAGGTCGACATGCAATAGATGACATCCCTCTTGTTACAAAATATAGTATTTTATTAATGAAACTATATAAATTATATATCTTTCGATATATTTGTGTGATTTTAGCCGTATTATATAGCTCTAATATTTTTTATATGAACTAAGAATTATACACGTCAAGAGCTAAGACAATTGATTTTCCTATTTAATTTCATTGATATGCCTATATTTAGGCAACATTTACAAAAAAGATACTCTTTTTTGTCCTAAATAGATTCAACTAAATGTTTTTCTATTAAAAACTTTTTATATAAGGTTGTTACAATATGAAAGCTAATAGCCGGTTCTTTACAATTTTCTTCCAAACCTTATCTTTGAAATAAAATTACTTATATACGAGTATTTATAGGTCACACATTATTGTAGGAAACTTTGGAGATATAAAATTGTATATCCAACTATAAGCTATACGAGAATTGAGCACATTGGAAAAATCTTTTAAAAATAAATTTGTAAACACTGTAATATAATTTCAACTAACTGTTTTACATGGCTTTGTTTGCGTAATGTAGATACATTGTCTAATATTTGAAATTAAACTTATAAAATTAAAACCTCGTAATATAGTACAAAATGAACTATTTCACTGTAAAATATAGAAGGTTTTTTTTTTCAAATAATTTCTTTATATTGATAAGGAATTACCAATCAAGCTGCATCTTCAGTTTAATTATAACAAAAATATTTTATAATAAAAAAAGAATTGTGAAGAAAATATATGAATACCTTTGCCTTTAATTAAAAATATATAAAAAAAAGAAAAATATATCCTTTACAAGTCCACTAAAACCAAATATTATATCACACATAATATGTAGTAACAAATACTTAATATTAATATGTTGTTATCGGTGTTTTGATTTGAGAACACATCATCTGATGTATGAACTGGAGAGAAAGTGTACCGGGAGGGTGCATCTGTTGAATATGGATGAGGGGGGGCTCCGAGGCTGAGGTAGGGGGGAGAAGGGGGGCGCAGAGGGGGGGAAGGACAGCGTGTAAATGGAAATTTCAAATAAAAACGCCTCAAATATTAACATCAGCTGGATTCATGTTTTCAGAGTTTTTTACAGCGGTCGACCCCGGACGCGTGATAACAGCAATAAAACACCGTACGTACAACAGATACGCAGAGGGATTATTATATAGTAATTAGATTTGTTACATTCGTATATATTACGGTACATTTGTATTTACCGTCGCACAATTAATACGTTATTCAGATAGTGTGGCAGCGTGTCAATGAGACATACTCGTAAATCACAGCATTGTGAGCATCTGAAACAAGCCTTGATTACTTGCGGCGGAAGTGCGTCATGCGGTTACGACGTCACGGAGGAAGCTGCCGCCGATCCGGAACTAGACGCTGTGTCCGGCTACTTACAGTTTAATGACTTACCGTGACACAAACTGTAACTAACGAGCTGTTCGCTGGGAGTAAAGAACCAGTAAGCCTGAACTAATTTTGATTTAATTTTTTTTTATTGTAATCATCCTGACTTAAAATGAAATATAGAAAGAGTTTTTAGGCTTTTAGTATCAAAAAAATATAGCACTGATACATTTGCGGCATTATTATCAAATGGAATAACACATAATCTTTCTTAAAATAGAATTAAAACAGTTGTACTCAACAATAAAAGTTTCCCTGATCTCCATATCAAATAATTTATAACAAAGTCATGGTACACGAAGAAATCTTCTATTAAAACAATGACAAGTAAAATGAAATATACATCGAGGAAAGTTCCTTAAACTTGTACCCTCTAACGCGAGATTAAGAATTATTACCTCTTATCTGAAGCCCTAGTCGACAACTCGTCGGCCATTCGCTCCTACGATATCTATGCCCGAATTCTACAGTCTACCTAACACCCTTACAGAACATACGACCCATCCAATCGAATATAAACTCTAACACCCCAATTACAGAGCACATATCACGTCACCTGGAACAGAGGCTCCCAAGACGTGATTAGCGAAAAGCTGGATGCTGGGAATCATTTGCGAAAGAGACAGGTGACATAATATTATGCAAATGTGCTAGTATGAATGAGACGACGTCATTCCCGCGGTTCAGTTTCGGGGGTCGGTTGAAATTTATATACGGATGAAACGATTTATTACAAAAGCATAGTCGGTACTTGAAATTAATTACGCTAAGTTTTGCTTTAATTTAGCCCCGTTGTGAGATTTCGGGACGTCGTCGTATTGGTGGGTTTTTAAGGAAGAGGATTTTATTATTTATGAACGCATGAAAAGTTTTAATTTAGTAGGTTTCCGATTAAATTTATTTTGTTTTAGTATAGTAGATATAAATTAGACAAGCCGGATTACAAAATATTATACTAAAATGTTATTAATATCAACAATTAATATGACGCCACATAACTTAGGATGCGCTTTAGACGTGTTATCGGGATAAAGCACGCGATGGCGTCTGATAAGTAAATGAGAGGTCCCGGGGGAGCTCGTATAAAGCGTAGGAATATATTGTGAGTAAAGAGGCAATCCTTCTTCACACGTTACCTTTTAGAAAACGGACCAATATTTTTTTATAATCATTAAAGTATTATTATATAACCAACATGTTATTTTTATGTGATATATTATTCACTAGACTATCAATCGTTTCCCAACTCAATACATTTCTTTATGAATTCATGGCGTCCTATCACGAACATTGTACCAGTCAACAAATACCCATCGTAAAAACCTCCAGTTCTCAGTGGACTTCAAACGACTTGCCTAAAATATTCCATTTGACACCCGCCTTTGGTCTTTGATCTTGTCCCAGCGAATTGCAACCAATCACAGGCCGGATCAACTTTGATTGCTTGAGGGACTCTTAATTACCCGATGACCTTCTGCTTTGCAAAGATCGACCCTTGGCACTCCACTAAGAGGCAATTTGCTGAACCCTACATATCAGACGCATTTCGACTATTTACTTGCTACAGCAAATAAACGCGTTCTAAAACAACCATTTCTTATATCCAACCGACTAAACCTACAAATAAATACAGCGATATTAACTAATTGAAGTCTTGAAAGAAATGTAGATCAAATACAAATATATATTTAAGTATAAGTTTCAACCGGGAGCTGAATACATCTCGTTAGTCTCTAAGTATAACCAGAGATACATAAATTAAAAGTGGATACGGTATCAGGGCTCACGTAGACTTGCAGATGGACAGCTGATGGGCAAGATCAATCCTGGAGCAGCGAGACTGGTTCGTGTCGACGCTGCGAAATACACTATCGAAATACAAACCAAAATAAACCCTACCACACACGAATAGAGTGCAAAAAATAACGGTAGCAAATCTCCGGAGCGCCGTCGTTTATTTTGTGTACGACTCAATAAATTTCTAACCCGGGAGCGAATGTTGGACGCATTAAAAATGTGCAAAAAAAAATTCACCAGACATTGTCTCGATGGGATTGTTTTTTGTTATATCGACTGTCATACGAAACAACCGGCTATTATACATATTACTCATTGTTCGGTTTTGGTTTAATTTTATATGACAAAAACCGTTCCGTAACTCTTTTAGGTGATACATAAAAATACTTTGGAAAGAATCGTATACTTTTAATGAACTCACATAAAATTAACAAGGCACGGATTCAGAAAAAATTAAGGTATAGTATATATTTATACATATACTTATTATTATATGAATATATATATATTGTAGCGTCCCGGAACGATCTAATTAAAGGGATATAATTGGAATTCCTAAGATTAAGCGAACACCTCGCACTAAAAGCTACTCTGTGTCTCTTTGGGGGGCGCCACGTTGCCTGTGATTAACGCTGCGCCCGCGCATGTTTCACTTAATTAGCCTGAAGACATGCCGCGTTCACACTCCAACACACCTAAAAAGGAGATCTTAGTTAGCCTTAAGTAGACCTCTGTGTTTCACGATTGTTCGTTTTGTCTCGAGATCTCTAACAGATTATACATTTCAGCTATACCTACTTCATATATATAAAACGAAATGATCATAAAAAATATAACAATAAAAATAAAAATAAATGTATTTGTGACGAATGTTTTGTTAAATGGTAAGATGTTAACGCATCGTTATATATAACACGGTGGGATGATAAAAACTTGACATGCCACGATAAATAAAAAGCCGAGCAAATACACAATACCAGCCAGCGAGCGGTTGTATTACTCCATTCCGAACGAAGCTCCTGCAACGTGAGCTCGATGTGAACAAAAACGAAGGGAACGTTCCATCGCCAACGGTAGCGAAATAATAAGATCGCACAACAAATAAACAACCAAAGAAACAAAAGGAAGGCCTAGTGAAATAAGGCGAAAAGGTATAAGAGTGACGCGGTGTGGGCCCGCGCTCATTGTCTTCTGGACACAGTCTCCAAACATATAACTATTGGATGTGATATATTCAAATTAACTAATAATGTTTTATATCACACTTAGATATAAATAAATCCATCCTTGATATGGTTGGGTCGTACATAATTAAGACGCCTGACTACACTATTAATGAGAACTAACTAATAACCATGTCTTAATACAGTTGTAACTCCAAAGCAACCCTTTAAGGCGCGTCATAGGACAAACTGTTGATTGCAATTCAATGAAGTGTGCACGATCGAATATTCTAGTAAATAGATGTAATTATATCATTAAATACATGAAAATACATTTAATATGTGTTATACTATATGTTATAGAGATTCATTTGAATCAAATGATAATATAAATTATAGGAACGTTGTAATTACTATTTCATTGTTAAAAAATGTTTTAAGATTTAAAATGAAAATAATAAATTGCCGTATCCAATTTTATTGGCTCCATGTTTGAGGATACTGATAAAAAAATCGTTCGCAATGGGACTGGTCGTGGTACATCATTGCAGCTTCCGATACGTGCTACCATTCGTGCCACGTATAACTTAGCTGGCATCTTATCGTGATGGAATTAGGTCCATATTCGAATGGCTCCCGCTAATTAATGCCAAGGAATCATATGAGCATCCAACCGGCCATTGATAAATTGACAGCCAGCAAAACACACGGCTTAATATATTTTTACTTTATCGTTTTGTCACAATTGCTAAGATTCTCTTAAAAGTCAATATTTTAATTAAGAAAACGTGTACGTTATATCTTTTGCATCTCAAATATCAATTTTAACAACCTTCACAAATACAAAATAATGTCCAGATCATTTGGTTCAATAAAACAGACATACATATAACTTTTACAAGAGTAATAAAAATTTTCAATAACAAAATGCGTTCTCATACTTAAAAGTATACAAAATTTTATGAAGATCTAGACAATTTCGTCTTCTAACCCAAAAAATAGAATTATTTATAACTACAGCGAATAACATAAAAAATTACTGACAATTCTGCACATTATTTGATTACTTTTGAACAATTTTGGTGTGATGAAGGAATCAAACAGACAGAGCGAGTCTGGAACCAGCTTCAATCAGACAGACAGATATATATATATAATAACGTTACCAATCTACTACATACCTAGATAGATGTTTCCTCAATAACTAGATATGCATCTGCTAACATTGTATTAAATGTTTATATATAATTTAATACCTTATTGTTATATAAGTACAGTTTTAAATTAAATACAGTATAATTCTATAACAAATTTATCGAATTAATATTGTTTTTTAAAATATTATATAAAAAAATATACTAAAAAGTCCTTCCTGAATGTGAGATGTGTCAAATCTGAGTTAACATTATATGTTAAATCATTCTGCTTCATAGTCGGAATATACGTTCGAAAAAGATTTCAATGATTTTCCATATGTTTTGTGTATATAATAATAATATAAACGTCCAAGAATTTTCAAATAAATAAAGTTTTAAATTGTCCCAGATAGTAGTTTGTTTTATTACGGTTGAGGCGAGTGATAGAGGCTTCGCGGAAGGCGCCTAATGAAGATCTTAATTGGGTGTGCGCGTGTGTCCGCGGCTTTATCGACACTACCAGCTATTCTAACTTCGTCTCGCTACTGAACTCCTGGTACCTCAAAGACAATATACAAAGATACTTCATGTAGCTATAACATATAATCCTCCTTTGTAAATCAGAATTTCTTTACTAAATATAAGCTCTCAAAACGTTAATAAACATACCAACTAAGCCATAAGGCTATCGCATTACAAACTTCATGGCAATATATTATAAAAATGTAACGTCTCGCTGACACAGCTATATAACGTTGAACAGCGGTCAACGCGTCACGATATGCGATAACAAAAAATAAACAACCGAAAAAAAAATACTCCCAAAAAAAAAATTATACTCACGCGAAACAACCATTACAAAATAACTCCGTCGTGTAGCAAGTGATTCGATTTACTGAACGCAAATAGGAGAAGAGACTGACATAAAATCAATCGGCTGGCACGCGAGGCTTAACACCGAAATAATGTAAATTATTGCTCGTAAAAATGTCATTTTCGACGTCCTAGTGACGTCACGGCCAAGACCGCAACTCTTACTAGTAAAATACTACGAGGGAAACCAAACTCTGGCTACAATGATATAGAAGTCATAACAGCAAAGCGGATATCGACTCTGGGAATGGAAACCGAAGGAAAATCGTTTGCGTTGATACTGCCCCCGCTTTGTTATCTTTGTCATCAGTTAGAGGTAACATTTGCATATCTAGCGTTGTGCTTCCTCTGAGTTTGCTTACATCCTCATTTAAGACGGTGAGCGTACCATCTATATAAGAATAAATTCCATATATATAAATAGCAAAATATCACAAACCCGCGAACGTCTCATCGCATCAAAATCTTGTTTAAAATAGGACAAAAGCTGTCAGGGCAGTAAACCTCAAACGTCGCGTGTCTATGTGTGGGTGTCCGTAGTTACTGGGGTGGTGTGCACACAGACGCACTGAGACGATCATTTACATACGGCGGGGTACGAGCCGGGAGTGAGAGGGAAACACCTCGGGGACCTCGCCCTCCCCAGCGTTGAACAGAGACCACTATATTATCATCCTGAACTAAAAAAACGAAAAGTGGGCGGGGGATTACATTATAGTAGCGAAAGTAATCGATATTCTCTTTTAGTATGAGGTTGTTAGACCTGTGCAACTGCAGCCTAAATACGCAACGGTTAGGTCATGCACGATGCAGGTGACGTACGGTTTAAAGCCTTTGGGACTATGGAGGTAGACTGATGCTTACAACACTTTAAGCATCCCAAAAACTTACAAAGACTCGTATCTTTGACATCAGTATTCAGGGACGTCTATCCAAAAAACAATGTGACTAAATTAACGTTGATCTGACCTTTACAATAATTTCCACCAAAAAATATCAGCTTTGAAATGATAATTTAGGCACTACGATTATTTAGTGCAATGATTTATTTATTAAGAGGTTGAGGTCCCAAAATTCTATAGGACATTGACAAGTATCGAAAGGACCTCATTAATTATTAAAACGGACCACCGTTTGGGTCAATGGCGTATCAAAGATGCACCGTTTAGAGCAAATGAGCCGTGGGGCATTTTGCGCATAATTTCACAACTGGACCCTACCGACCGCTAAACGGACATCGGCCCAAGATAAACGACTCCGTGCTTATGTGTCCCTGGTACTTTATAAATATTTGAAATCAATAGTGACAAAAAAACTAAATTATTTCATAACTAAACGAAGAAAACTAAGGAAAAAAACTAATGAAAATGAGTCTCTTGTAAGAAATGAGAAAATGTATGTATGTGTTTAACTAATTACTCTCACGTTTTTGAATGAACCAAATGTTTATTAACAACGTTTTATGTTAATGAAGAGTTTAGAAAACAATATTACTAACAGAAATATAAAAGAATAGGTACAACTCAATGATATTCAAGATGAAAAAACGCATACAAAATACAATTAATTTAAAGTTTCTTAGATTGAAATTGAACCTCTTTATCTATAACTATCTAAGAATCCTAGCAAATAAGCGATATAATATTATTGCATCCGATTTTTGAAAAATCCTGCCTCTAAATAAAAATATGATACGTAAATCCGTAGCTACGTGACGTAACGCGGCGTGTCGTAACGTAAAAATAGGGGATATTTATATAGTGATAAAATCCATTTACGAGCTGTGCTACAATGCGGGACGAACAAACTTTATTTCCATAGCTTTCATATCTAGAGGACCAACGACGGTAGGGACTTGCTGTGTGTCGATAATTTAAACGATAATATGTTCATATCGATACAAATTATGCTAGAATATTAAATGTATTGAAAATATATGTATTCTATGAAATATAAATGTATAAAAAAAACTTTTATTTAACATAATTTACTTGTTACATACATCGTACTATAATAATCTATATATTTATTGTGCCAATAATATCTTTAAAAATAATCTTAATTATTGAATATTTTAGTTAATTATACATAATTCTTTATCAATAAGTACATCACTACAAACAAAGCCACCCTTACTTTTTTCTTCAATTTTCCTTTTGCGATCTTCTTTCACTTAATTGACGTAGAATTTTGATTGGTCCGGTACCCGCCATATTTCTATGCATCTGTCGCTATCGTTTTTTTCTTAATTTGAGATCTCATTTATTATTCCGTTCTTATTTTAATGGCTGGCTTCGTTATCGCTTGTGTCTCAAGTCGATATTCCTCTAATTGAAGATTCGAGCACCATCGAATGTATTGCCACAGATTTATTCACCGTTCCCAACCAAAATCGATATAATTTCTACAATCCGTTGAATAAATAATAAAAATAAATCGAATAAAATAATCGATGCATCAATAAAACAATCGGAAGTTACATTTCAATCGACACAGCAATTACTCGTCAAAGGCGGTACAGTTGAATAGTAAATGATAAAACAGTATGGTGGGATTGACAAAACGGCTGCGCGCGCGCCGATTCACTTGTACCACGGTACAACGCCTAACAAATTTCCAGAATGGCCTCCCATTGAAACGTCATGGCAGCCGCATTGTATGTCCGGATGGTTCCTTAAATCGATACAAAGCATTCGTTCTGATGGTGAAATCAATGGATCTAATTAAAACGTACCGGATTATATCCTGTTTATATTAATATTATAGTTTTGATGTATGAAAATGTTTGTTGTATGTATAAACAATGAAATGTGGATGGATTTTAATGAAACTTTATTATGATACTCCTCACGAGGAAGCATGAGATATAGTGTATATTTCTTTCTGGTATAAAAATTATGTTACGTTATACCAACAGTAACACTACCGATTTGTTACATATACATTATACATATGTATATATATTTAAAAGGACATATTACACTCTGAGACTATTTTCGAAGTTCATGCGAGCAAACACGCACGAAAATCCTAGCTAATAATTTACATGTATCAATATAAAGAAATCGTTATATAAAAAATCAAATACATTCTTTTAGTTGTTACATATCTCCGTTTCAACATAACTTGAATGAATAGAAGTCACTGTAAGTCTATTTGTTGTTTAAAAGTAAGTTATCATATGTTTTTCATTATATCTTTCATGAATGGAATATTTGTTTTCAATGCACTGATTAATGATTGTTAATATTCGGCCCGCGATCCGCCCGGCGCCAGCATACGTCTGATTCCAACAAAAACCTATACTGTTTGACATTAAACGTAATGTAAGTCTGAATTCCTGGACCGAATTATAATTATGTATAAACGATAACAAAAACAATATTTAAAAGTTAATTAATTAATTACGAATTAGAGTACTTCCATTTTAGGTTTAATGAATTACACCAACCAACTACAGACTTTAACTTAATTTAGGTACATAATTTTAGTGTCATTTCTTTTTTAAATAAGTATATTTAAAACTAAAACTAAATATTTAATATTATTTCAACAAATTGACGTAAAATATGAATAGGAAAATGCTTTAAAAGTAAATGAAGCACCTCTAGTACCCAAGCAACGTAAAGCTCCACACGAGATAGCTACGTTCCTAAAATTCACATACAGTATTTGAGAGCTGAACTAATATTGCGAGCGCATCTAAGGTTCGTTAACCCCACGAAATAAATACCTAGAGACTTAATAAACATCACTAGAGGTGGCATGCTATGTAACAAAGGATTTTACAATATATAAAGAAAGACTATTTAGTAATAAAAATGTGAAAGATTATTTATAAGAAAATTCTTTGAATGTAAATACGATATTTGCTTAATGTCATACAAAATGCATCTCTGTTACAGCTTCTACGTCGTGACGGGTGTTTGAGGGGGTGCGGGGGACGTATTATAGGAGGGGGGGGTAGCCATACAAAAATATGCAAAGCGCGAGCCGGGCCCTTGACACAAGCCTACTTCAAGACTTCATTATCCCAAACAATGCCCGTTAAAAGTCACGCACACAACGACATCTGTTTACAAACAAGACGTTTGTATGTGTGAGTTACGATATTTAATATGTGCTAACTGACTTAATACGTAAGTGCTAAAAATTTTCACACTTACATAACGAAATAGCGTAATGAAAAACTACTGAGCAATTCTCATAGAAATACATACTCAATTTACTCGCAACTACGTACTCAATAATAATTTTTCATCCAGTATTGACGGAAGACTACTAAAAATAGTAAATAAACAAAGGTAGTACAATAAGGTAGTGTTCAACAATACGTATGTGAGAGTTGTCTCATGTAAGATGCATGTAGCCTCAGAGAGTCTTCTACTCAGATATTTGAAAACACATTTTTGGACGACCTTGAAAAGTTTCCGCTGAAATACTGAAGCTTTGAAAATTATTAGAAATATTGTTTTAACCTAATACTATTTTTATATAAAAAGGGTATTATATAATGGTGCGTTTAATATAATTTTAGTTATATTTATTTGTATATATATATTTTTGAGAAATTTAAAAGAATAAAAACGTAAAGAACAAAAAATATCTTATTGAAAACTAAAGTAATGAAATTCGTATATGAATGGGTTGCCATATTAAAATATATTTGCTAATTAAGATTAATATTTAATAAGATTAATAAATGTATATTGTATGTTTTAATCTGTTACTATAAGAGTATGAAAATCAAGTTTATAAAAGCATATATATTATAAACTATATAAGATCCCCTTCTAAATACCAGTTACTGTTTAACATATAATAATTGTACACATTAAATAGTTTTAATACTTTTATAAATAGAGGAAATATTTGTGAAACATGTACAAAATGTGTACAAATATGAAATATGTATAAACTATAATTCAAGAATATTTAATATATTGCAATGGCAAGAACGTTTCGTTACTCGCAGCATAGAAATAGTATAGTTATATTATTATAAATAAATGGAAAATACAGTAATCACATAATAAACCTCAAATTATATGAATTCTATCTATTCATGTATTTTGTATAATAATAATTAATTTTTAATTATTCAATCATTTGTTATTTGTTCTGTTAATAGAAATTTTATATATATTAGACATAAGACTATAACTACTTAATAATCAAATTGTCAAATAAGTCAAGATATGTGAGTTATTATAAATAAATAGTTTTTTTACCTTCGACTTTGCCTGTGTTGGAAATCTAAAAGGACTAAAAGTCAATTGCTATTTAAAAAGCAAAACTTCATCCTTTTGAGTGAAATTTGGTTTAAGCGTTCACGTACCTATCTGTTCAGAGTTATTTCAGCCAGCAAAATTTAAAAGAAAATGAAAAAATATACTTTTTGTATCTAAATCAATCACATATTATTGAAAGGAAAAACTTTCAATTGTTTTTATATATAATTTATCAAATTATTTACTAAAAGTTGTAAAACTACTTGGTGTCTAATTAGACATTATGGAATCCATTATTATTATCATTCTGTCATATTATTTATTTTAATTGTATTAAACGTTTATTATTAAATTATTTATATAAAACAAAATACAATTATTTATTCTAAAAATGGTAAACTGGAGTACCTAAATGTACAGAAAGGTTTTTAGACCTTTTTATATATATAAGTTTTTTAATGTAATTTGATAGAATTATTAATATTTATTATTATTGTGCTATAATAGCTGATAGATAAACAATATTATATACAAATCATTTAAACTTATATTCAAAATCTATGTTTCTGTTAGAATAAACTGTATGAAATGATGGTCGTATAACGCTTCCTGACAAAAAGGTTACATAGCATAATGTCAAAACAGAATGTCAGCTGTACAACATAAATTGTTAGAATAGGGCCAAGATCCGAGTCATAGCCACAGCCGAAGCAAGATTCGGTAAAAACGCAAACTTGAGGGCGACGACACAGCCGAACCGCGCACGAAATGTATTCAAATATATGCGCGATTAATTCAGGCTGCATAGCCAACGGGACGGTGTTAGTGTGGCGGTCTCACTTTCTACGTGGATCGATGAGGCCGTGACCTTCGAAACCTTATTTGCTGGTTCATTCTATTTTTTGGACGGTCAGGTCTAACTATGGAGTATATAATTTACCAAGTTCGAATCACTTAACTGCCAATCGATACAAACTGGACGGTTTATTACATAAACAGCTATATAGGCACACACATCAAAAACCATCATATTCGTTGCTCATACCTAAAATAACCGAGTATTAACCGAGCAGACAGACAACAAAGCGATTGAAATCTCATCAGTGCTTCCGTAGATTTCAAAAAGAAAACGCGCCCTTGTAAAATTCCTTTTCAGGTCTCAGTGGAATTCAAGTATACGTAGAGGGCTGAGCACCATATATAAACATAGTGCGCTGGGCGTACTGCGTCTGTGTGCGTGACGTGACGCCGACTAGCTGTGTGTGTGTGTGTGAGACGTGACGGTACGCGGCGCGCGCGTGTGTGTGTGTGAGGAATGTTCACAGGAGGATGTACAGCGGTTCATTATTTTAGATACGTTATGACGTCATATAGATAGCGTATAATATGAAATTAATAGATTACTAACTATTGATATTGTGAATTAAATTTTATGATTAATCTATGTAATTGTGTTTATATTTGGCTTTTATTTACCGTGAAAGCATTTTTTGTTGGTTTTAAAGACGATATTATGTAGTTTCCAAGTTTCTTTGAGATTCAAGACAAAGTACTAAACTACAATTTTCTAAACTGGTATTATCTGTTTTCAGGAGATTCCAGAAGAATTGTTCCACTGTTTCCATGATTCCAGATTCCAGAAGATTATTCGTCACACCTGTATAGAGAATATGATTAAGAGTTAAAATAAGTACATACTTAATAAAATTGTTTATTAGTATATATTTTTTATTTCGCTCCCATATTAAAATTAAAACACAAAAAATCAAATACGTAACCATTTTTTAGTTAATCCCATTAAAAAACTTCAAAATCCTACTTATATAACTATCCAAATGCGATATTAATTGACTATGTTTACAGAAGCATCATCGTTCTAAATATATTTTGCTAACTATCAAGACTATCTAGTCTCTGTACGAACTCACACTACTGTAGAGCTACGTGCCGTCGTCTTGGTAACGAGACGCATGCGTGGCGCCGCCTACCGTGCCCCCCTCCCCCCTCCCGGAGCGCCCCCCTCCCTCAACCCGCAGCCCCCCATCAGCACTTAGTGCCAAGTACGAAGCTGATCTATTCTATATGATTGGTCATTGAAGGATAGTACGTACTATACGTTATTTTTTACCTTATACGAACATAACATCAGCCATTAGTATATGGAAACGATTTTAATTTATCGATTTCGATATCGATATGTTTGGAATTATATAAAAAATCACCTGACTAGTAATCGAACACATCGATGTGTTTCCAATAACAATATATATACGTAAAACAATAGTCCAATAGTCCGTCTGTTTATTCATTACAATAATACGTCCCAGTAACGAGGACATTTACAAAACACTGCTAAGTACACAATAATGGACTTTTGAACATGCTGTACTAATATATCTATAATACACTAGAGCGAGATGGATATATACGAGTGTCATACGTGCGAGAGGGACGGGTGATGCACTCACACATACAAACACGGGAAAACCTCACGCACACAAGCACGCGACTTACACAAACGGAATGTAGGTATTGGCGGAGAAACGTCAGTTGATAACGACTGTAATGTAGGATATGATTTTATAGTATCAGATGTACGGAAGGATAACTTGGATTTTACATTTGCTCTTCTGTAATGGTGGAAGAAATTCGGGAAACTTATAGAGTTTATTAAATATAGACGAAAATAACTTTTAATTTTATTTAACATACATGGCAGGTAACAGAGATATATAAAATTATATCACAATGTACGGTCACAAATTATCTAAATTGGCAACATTAAAATTTTATACCATCTCCTTATATTTAGAGATCAATAAACTTAATTTCATAGGTGGAATTGAAAAAATATTTAGATATAATTCATAAAGTTTGAAATACAAAACAGATAGGTGAGTTTCCTTAAAGATTTTACAGAGGAGTATAAATATATAGTTTGTAAAGTTAAAATTAGAATCGGTCCAACATTGATCGTACCTAATCATTAGAATAGAATACTTCGAAGTTTGAACATGGAACTATGAACATGTACTAAAAAAATATATAGACTGTTTCAAAATTTAAAAAAGGAACGATCTAGACTAGTTCTCTGTATTCGAAATTTGAAACTGGCACAAAAACTTTATACCACAAAAAACTAAACAAACAGAAAAGAATAAATGAATGTTTGGATTTTTAAAAAAAGAATACAATATGCTACATATGTAGTACTGTTGATAGTTTCTGCCAGTTAATCGCAGTTAGCATAACGTCAACCGCCGTAGACGGGACCCAACTAAAGTGAACACAGAACAAACTTTTATTAAATCGTCTACGCGTTTCTCTTACGTGGCTGGAGTGAAAACGACACACGGCGCTAGCTTTCAGGACATTTCGATGTAACCAACGCCATCTGTTATCGGATAGCGGAACTACGCCAGGTTGTGGTTTGCATCTAATTACATTTTAAGTAAAAAAAATACTTTCAATTTTATCCTATTAGCGAAGAATGCAGGTTATTTTAAAAGAAAATACATCAAAATGGATCCATTAATACTCCACATAAATAATACATGAGGGAAAATAAAACTTGTCAAACTCATTGTCAACTTGACATCTACCGTTTACATATTTAATTTATTCCAATATACACTACGTTTAGAAATTAAATATTTTTTATATTTAATATGTAGATTAGAACTTATAATTTTTAATATATTTTCCTTAGCAATAAATATATCAAGTTGGATACAAATTAAGTAATATAATAATTACATTAATAAATTTAACCCGAGCGTATTATAAATTAACTAAAGAGCCAGGTTGTTATTTAAGGAGTATACTTTTATATCGCTTGTACAGTTATGGCAGCACTTAGACAGATTGTTCACGGTGTTCGGGGACCGTGAAATGAGACAAAATAACATACTGTGTACACACACACACACACACACACACATACACACACACATGTACCAGTATACATATAACATAGCCACTATCCAGAAATCTACAAAAAATTTACATAATAACAAAAGAAGTTTAAAATATTGCCTACAAAATAGTCAGTAGAAAGTAACTAAGTATCCTTCAGATGTAATTTAATACGAAATACAATTAAACTTGGTAATTATAATTGAATTAAAGAGTGCGAACAGAATTGATATCAAGAAATAGAATTTTATACTGATACAGATAAAACAACACCAATGAAAATTCACTAAATATATGGTTTGAATAAAAACTAAAAATAAATACATTATGACTGAACCAATTTTTATATTATCTGTTATATGAATGACAATATTTAATCTGTGGACTGTCAAATTGCAAAGAAAATAAAATGAATTGTCGATGTTTTTAATTTATGATACAAACAATAATAATAATAATATTAAAAGGATGTTATTCAATCGCCATTTGCTTGTAGTTTGATGCGTGAAATGAACGGGCGGCTCCGGCGACGCCACGCCATTTACACTCAGACGACATTCCAATATAAGTATGTATACATATATATATATATTGTATATTATTACTTATAATATATATGTATATATAAAAGTATTGCAATATAATATTATAGGCATATATCATATTTAAATTGAACTTACGTAAGTGACATATTTTGATGTCACATTTTGACGTTTTCGATGTTATTTTTTTTTTTGTAAATATTTTTACGGCTCTGAATTTTTACGGCTCTAAAAATTAGTTACAATATTTTTAAAATAAGTATTACCATTAAAAATAACACTCAAATGATTGAGTATTAATCGTAAATGGCTGTTAAAATAACATTTAATTTTTTTTTTACAACAATATCCATTTACGACGTGTTAGAAAAGTCATTTTATTAGCAATAAAATGACCAAATTCGTTACACAGAATAAAAAAAAAACAAATCGTAAATATTATTTTTAATGTTTGACAAATAGAAACTTTTTTGTTGAACATAAGAATGAGTCATGTGTAGGCGTTAAATTAAATCTTTATTTCGCTGCCATTGTGTTCAAATTGTTATAGCATTTAGGTCGATATTTACAATGAAATAAGGACTAGAATTGTATATTAACTATTTACATTTTAAAATAAACTTATTAGATATAGTCAATAATATTTGACCTTGAAACACAAACAGAAAAATGAATACATATATTAAGAAAACTATCAAACTGTACGTTTCATAGTATAAACTGAATACTACAAGTATATAGTACGATTTGTATATCTGTTAATTTGAAATATGAGTGATAGATATGGCGGAGGTAAATCCGGGTGTTTGGTGAATACAATTAAGGGAGGTCGCAATCCGAATTATAAATTCCATGGGAAAGGCGACAGGTGGCGCGGTAATCACATGAGCTGGAATCATAGCCGGCCACAGACTGTACAGAACGAATATACTATTAAAACAACCAGGATATACACGGATTTATATTATATTATTATAAAAAATAAACAGTCTCGTTTCTTCGATATTTCAAATTGAATTTACTAAAAATATAAATTTTAACACAGATAAAAAAATATATTGATTCGTCTATACAGCCAATTTGAAATTGATTTAAAAGAAAATATATATAAATATAATATAATATATATAATAGTTATATATTATGAGAGTATAAAAATTGAGCTTACTAAAGTATATAAATTGGAACACAGATATAAAATATATCGATTCGTCTATACAGCCAATTTGAAATTGATTTAAAAGAAAATACATATAAATATAATACATATAATACTTATATATTATGAGAGTACATATCTATATATATCTATATATATATAAACAAGCCCCGGACCGTCTGTATCAGTCATAATTGCGGACTATTTGCTCAGTGCTACGTGAAATAACACGCGTCAGATAGCGCCATTGTTTTTAGTTTTGACAGAGCGGACGTTTTCCCGCCGTTTCATATTGACGCCTTGGATTAAGACGAAATATAATTATAATTAATAATTGCATTATTCGATGGACGGAAATGAAGTTTAGAGGATTGTTTTTTTTTTAATTTAATCTTCAAATCCTGGCGAAAGCCCACGTTATAGAGACGACTCGTTATGCTTAATATTATTTTGTTTTTTAAATATGTATTAATAGCAATAGTTCATACAATAATGCAACTAATAGTTATTTAAATAGATTTAAATTGACAAAATATAATAATATTTGAATTAAGAAATAAATAAAATAAAATAGAGAAATAAGTCACAGTACTCATAAAGAAAAAAAATTATTCCTACATTTTTTTTGACACAATTCATATCGGTTAAATTTATTTCCCAACAAAATAATGTTACATTTTCGTTATAATACATTAATATTATAAATCTTTTAAAAAAGCATTTCTTTCAATCAAACACATCATAAAGTAATCATCACATCATATCATGTTAATATCATGTTATTATCATTACTATCATTCAATGATACAAGATTAAAACTGTCTTAAGACCATTAGACATGCATCATGATAATTAAATAATGGCAACATCTTACAGATATGCATATTTTTATAGTTTTTTTTTTCTATAGAACTTATTTTTACGATATAATGTGAATTATAAGACACCTTATTAGGTTCTTTCCTGTATAGAACTTTTTTTAGAACAAAGTGTAAATGAAAAAATTATAAGATATATGTATTATTAGGAGTTTTTTAATGTAGAGGATAAAATATTGTGCATTTCCTTGTGATTCGTTAGTTAATCAATGTTTAAGTCATAACAAAAATAATGATTGGAAATTAATATAGAAGAAATTACTCTGAATTCTTCTTCTTCTACCTGGCAATTTCCCAGCTTTAGCCAGGGTCTGCCTTACATGTTGTGAATAGTTTTGGCCAATTGTTTTTAAGACCGGCCGCCTGCCTGACATCAACCCTCTTTTAGGAATGCATTAATCAGTGATGTCTAAATACTCTTAGAACGTACATATGACTCGGAAAAATCAAAAAACTTGCCAGGATCGAACCCGCGCCCTCATGCATGTGGGGCCTTTTAACTAGGCCGCCACTGACTCTATTATATATATTTATATATATATATTAATTAATAATTGAATCCGTCAACCACACGTCATACGCCCGCCTTAACAGACGTCAAAACAGCTTACAATATCTTATCTATTATAAAACATAATATTTCGCGTCTCACTGGCTTAACACTCTTAGCGATTTTGACGTGTACAAGAATAAATGATGAACATAAATTTATTATATACAAGCAATAATATGCTTTATTGTATGTGTATAAATTATATAATTCCGTGTTAGGATTAGTAAATTATGTTTGATTGTGCGAGTTGTATAGATGTGACGTCATCTCTGTTAGTTCAGAAAATTGTGTACAAATTTGTGTATTGAATTAATTTGTTAAAAGTTTTTTACAAACATAATTTTCACATATATAATAAAGCTTTTCTCTATAATTTACAATATTTTTGTAAATATTTTAATAGATGTAAAGCCATTGTAAAAAGCTAATTAAATTGTTGTTTTTACGTTCTTAAAACAATGATTATTTTTGATTATTCTCTGATAAAGGTTTCATGGTTACATGATGATATAATAAATATTATTCGATTATAAATCTAATCAGATTTACGACATATACATTTGAAATCTTAATAGATTTTTCCAATTCTTTTAGTACGAATCTTTTTTACATAAATTGTTCACTATTGTCTCTTTTATACATAGAATATAACATATGTATTAAAAAATCTTGCAACACTAAAATACAACACATATTAAAAATCATATTTAAAAAATAAAAGTTGTTTTAATATGACATATAAGTTATAACATGTATAAAATAAAACAATGTTCATAAAAGTTGCATTAAATGTATGTAAATATATTATAATGTATGTATCTTTGATCAGTACTTCCTTCCGCTAATTATGCGTACGCGCAGGAGCCCTCGCCCTCCGCTAGGGGACCGACAAATCGACACGCCGCTAACAGTTTGGGTTACACGTAGTATTTGTAACACACAGACATACATACAACATTTATTTACCCCCAAATATGTATATGAAAAATTAAAATTATATGTAACCCAAAATAATATATATAGGTAATAATGAAAATCCTTAATTTATTGCTATGTAAATAACAATATACCTATATATGTATATGTATTTAATTCTTATTAAAACATTAAATAAAATTCTCGACAATCGAATAAGAAAACAACTTGGAAACTCTTTAACAACAATTACAATATATAATGACAATAAAAAATGTCTATATACTTTTTGAGCCTTCAAACAATTATAGCATTAGCTTATAAAGAAAATTGATAACCAAGCTAATACAAGCTGTTATAAGCTATACTAAAATAGAGGAAATTATATGAAAAAAATACTAAAACTAAATGTATAAATCGCCACAGATAACATAGATTTATGACTCTGTTACGGATAGCACCATATACAGCTTGAATGAATTCCTGAACGTCTACAAGCTGTACTTCAATAAATATGTAATAAATCCAATCAACAAGCTATTATAGCACAAGTGAGAGGCTGTTTATGCTAACAGCGTGATTTACAGCTTGCAACTTAGTTGTGACTAAATAGTTTGAAAATATTAAAATAATAATTCCTGAACGTTTTTTTGCTCTAAAACCTAATAAACCTACTTAAAATTCTAATATATAAAAAAAATACATTACAATTTCCTAAACTTTCGTTAAATATTCTTAGTGTTTTCTCCATTAAGCGTTATAATTAAAAAACGTTGACACATCATAAAAATCAAAATATGTATCAATTACTTATTACTACATAGCATTATATCCTGTATTTCAATATACATATGGACTAGAATGGTTTCCACGAATTTCTTTTACGATATAGCGTGCTGTATATAACAAGGAACATGTCACGCCAAATAATCAAAAACTACCAAAACATTGACTTACTTGCGTGACGTCATTAGAAGAGTAAGACGGAAGATATTTACCTCTCTTTCACTATTTACTTCAATTATAATTTAAAAAGATTTTTTAATGACATTGACAGATTGTAACGTGCATTTGGATATATAAGCCACAGATAAATAAACATTATAATATATTAATATATAATCTGTGGCTTAGTTATAATAAATATTAATATTAAATTTATATTTTATATTTGTAGTACATAACTCTTTTATCTGACTGCGATGATTGGATATGAAAAATAAATTATGAATATTATGAATTAAAAATGAATTACTTCTTTTTTATTTGGTTATCTAAAGAACAATATTTATTTTATAATATTTTCATCTTAACTCATATTAATACTTTTTTAAAGACAAAGACGAATACGAAATACCTTATTCAATATCTCTTTTATAGCATTTTGATTTTACCTTCATATGTATATACCAAGTCGTAATTTTAATTATATTTTCCAGTACAAATCGTCACATTCTACATAGTAATTATCAGTAATAACCGTATAATGTTTATAAAACATTACATAATGGCAGAGCCGCGGCCGCACCCTCGTTTTTCCTTTCGTAATTAGTCAAAGTATCAATGATAATACAATTTTCTTTTCTAAGAACATTCGTTTTATTTCCATTGTTATTTCTATGTCAATGTAATAAGCACTGTTTGAATTAAATTTTAATTTTAATTTTAAATGATGAAATCTTTGTTATAATTGCGTTGGTTCAATATTACATAGCTTTGAAAGTATTTAGATTTTAATCGATTAATACGTAGTGTTATTAGTACTATTTAGTGTATATCACTGGTGGCCAAGTGGTTAAAAAGCCCGCTTCTCATGCTCATGCGGGTTCGATCCTGGCAAGTACCAATGTGATTTCCGAGTCATATGTACTTAATAAGAGTATTTAGACACCACTAACAGATGAAGGAAAACATCGTAAAGAAACTTGGACTTATAATTTCACAATTATAAGTTTGAAATTACCAACACGTCTTAAGCATTGATGATTAATACTCAAACCTTCTATATGAGAAGAGGCAGCTCAGCAGTGGGCTCTGATAGGCTGATGACGATTATAAGTACTATTTAGTGTACAATATGTTTGTTAATGTGAACGCTACCTAATATATTTCCCACGAAGAAAAATACAAGCCAACATAAGGAGGATACGTTGCTCATGAATATTTATAATAACGACCCTCGATACTTGTAACGTACGGACAGACCAGCGGGCGAATGAACCCCAAGTATATTGTTTTAAAAAATATATTACCACATTATAGATAAATATTTTCTGGCCCGGGCAAGTACCAATGTGATTTTTCCGAATCATATGTACTTTCTAAGAGTATTTAGACATCACTGATTAATGTTGATTCCCAAAAGAGGGTTGATGTCAGGCAGGCGGCCGGTCGTAAAAACAAATAGCCAAAAAACTATTCACAACATGTAAGGCAGACCCTGGCTCTAGCTGGGAAATTGCTAGGTAGAAGAAGAAGAAGAAGATTATAGATAAATATTTTAATTTATTAAATCCTTATTCTGTTTATATACAGCCAGAAATTATAACACTTTTTATTTAATCTGTGGCATTTAACTCTATTTCTTTAAGCTGTGGTTTATTTCGAAATAGAATCGTTGAATATTTTTGGAAATCTCAACGTTTTTTTTGTTGGACGAATTATAATCTTGAGTATTGTATAGAGGAAATACGAAGGAGTTTTTCGAATAAAATAAAGGAGTTTTTTTGTCTTTATAATTACTGTTAAGGTGTACCTTTGTAAAAAAATTTATGACATTTATTTTTTTCTATCAAGACAGAGATTATCATCATTATACATATAAATACTTTTTGTTTATTTTTTTCAACTATTAACGAAAATTTTTAATTGTTTAGCTCTGAATATCAAATATATTATTAGTGATTTAATTTTGCTTTTTACGTAATTTTATTATACTTAATTAAAAATTACTCTTTATATAACTTAAAAACTCATACAATTCCTGATATATGTATATATAAATATATATTCAAGACATTCTTACCAACTATGATAGTTCCGACGGCCATTCCATTCATTATAGATTATGCTTTAAATCTTTACTGTGATTTAAAACATTATTAATAGAATACAATTTGCAAGGAAAATATAATATACATTATCATGGTAATATTACCAATAAAATATTTACCTGTCGTTAATACTTAGCACTAAATAAAATTCCCAAGATTACCTTAAACACACGTATAAATGTTTTCAAACAGTAAATCTTCGCACGTATTATGTATTCATTTGGTCAATAATGAATTAATTAGCATTCATTAGAACATCGTTTGTACACAAAACAAATTACTGTATCTTCAAGTTTTATTTAACATTATCATTTACATCTCGGTACAATTTAACTTTTAATCGTAAGTTTTTATATTAAAATGAGAAAAACTTCTTTATATTATGATTATTCGTAGTATAGTAAGTTTTTATTATATTTTTTTCTTTTTATGCATTTAATTATTTTTAATGGATTGTATTAATTTCAGCAAAAAATGTATAAATTGGGGGTTAATATGCTTGTTAATTGTATTGTGTGGCGCCATCTGTCGGTGAATAGCGAAACTAGGTGATATTTACAAATATTTTAAATTATCAACCTAACATTAAACCTTTATTACTGTTAACTTATTTACACATTATAAAAATATTCCTATTTTTATAGCGTCTATATGTAAATTTTTAAGAGGACATAAAATAGTAAATACTTTTTACAGGCAACAATTCATGTACATAGGTATATGACGTCTATACATAACACCCGCATATAATTTCCCACATGATATTTAAGTAAAATTATTTTAAACGCGTGGAAGAAATATTACAGATAATACACCGTAACGGACGAAGTTGAAAAAAAAACAACACCTTCAAACATTTTTAGCGCCGGAAGGCAGGACATGTTTTGCGAAGGATATATATATTAAATAAACCGGTAATTTAATTTTTGATTCATCCTCATATCTTTTAAATCAGATTAAACTAACTAACAAACATATATCACTTGTATAATAAAAAGATAACAATATAACCTAGAAAAATCTTTAAATACGTTAATTTGTGACTTTGACATATTGTTTTTTTTTAAGTTAAAAGACGATGGTCCACAACATACATCCAGTCATAATCATACAGCCAATTTCAATACTCCCGGTCGACCGTTGTCCAAATCAACGGTTCCAAGGCATATGTCTAATTCCAGTGCCTGTTCACTGGTTATGAAATGTATGCAAATTTATGCGCCTTTATCGGACATCGATGTGGGATACATTTTAAGTCTATTTTAATATAAAAAAAAATAATTACACCTATCATGAGCTTTGATAAGCGCTATTAAGTTTTTGCTTCCGTTAACAGTTGCAGAGTTTTTATTGTATGGAGAAAGTTAATAATATTTTGTTTTGGATATAATCTATCGAATTTATATTTTTAAGGTTGGCAATCCTTTTGGTATAACATATTTTTAATAGCAACATTTATGACATTAAATGAAATAATATATAGCAATATATTTTCATTTATTTATTGATACCTTCGTAGAATTTTATTCAAATGTCCAAAGTGTGCTAAATTCTTTTATTTGGTTACAATCTGAAATCGTTCAGGTCCGTATTTTAGGCCGCGTCTTGAATTTTAAACAATTGTTTTGACTGCGCCCCGGTAATACGAACGATGTTCAAACATTAACTGTGTGGATGATATACTGAGTATAATGATTTGAATTTATATTTTATCTTAATATTAATTATAAAAAATATTAGATTCTAGGAATGGAAAGAATGAAAAGGTATTAATATCACTCCAAACCAAAAAGTATCTTTATATGTACGAGTATAATCATTTCGATATAACACCGTTTGCCATTTTAACTTTTATATTTAAGCTATATTTCAATAATTGTAAATATTTTTACTTAAGAAATATCTTAACTCTTGCTAAAACTTAAATTTAAGGTACAAAATCTATTTAATACGATCACT